ACGAAATATATGAAATGGGCCGTGTGCCGACAAATAAATAAATTTACTTATTATAGAGATAATAAGTGGGAAATATAAATTATTATTTATATTATGATATCACCCTATTTTGAGGGTCTTAGAAATTAAAACGTTGATTATACTTAGTATAGTTGTCATTGTACTTGTCAAATGCTTCCAAGTACTGACCTCCCCTTCACGGGGGAGGCCACCTCACAGTTTCAGGTAGGGAGTAAAGCTTGCTACCATCGCCCGTTGCTTCGGGGAGCTTAGGGAGAGAAGACGTGGTTCGTGCTTCCTCCGTTCTATTTTTAAAACATTAAATTAATGCTCATGGATATTATTTGATTAATTATTTGGGGCTTGTACGCCCATGTTGCCGAATGTGGCATAAACACTTGTATTAAACGCTTCCGCTGATTTAAATGATTATTTTACATTATGTTTGTTTATGGATGTATATGTGTGAATGATATTCAAGACGCCTTGTATAATATGAATGTGTTGGACTGCGGTTGACTATTCGTATTGTACGGCGGGTTGTTGACGTGTCCGGATAGGTCCGGGGCGTGACACAATACACCACTCCGTATATATACGTATTAATCATCATTCCTCCAGATTTGTTTTTGTGGGATTCTATAACAGTGACTAAAATGAACAGTGACCAAACCAATCCGACCATGACCAACCCGACCATGACCAAATCCGACCATGACCAACCCGACCATGACCAAATCCGACCATGACCAATCCGACCATGACCAACCCGAACATGACCAATCCGACCATGACCAACCCGACCATGACCAATCCGACCATGACCAAACCGACCATGACCAATCCGACCATGACCAATCCGACCATGACCAATCCGACCATGACCAATTCGACCATGACCAAACCGGCCGTGACCAATCCGATCATGACCCATTCGACCAATGACCAACCCAATTAATGACCATGACCGATTCAACCAACGCCGACACTGCCGCCCCGACCACCACCACCCCCAACCACCGCATTGACCACCGTTGCCGTCAGACGGGGATCGACGCCACCACTCGACGGTGACAGCCCACCACCCATCACCCACCAGCCCCTTTCCTAGCCCTCAGGAGCACCCAACCCCCTCCAACACCTTTCCCCAGCCCCTAGCAGCACCCAGCCCCCTCCACCACCCTCCCCCAGCCCCCCCAGAAGCACCCAATCCCCTCCAACACTCTCCCCCAACCCCCCTGCAGCACCCAGTGTTAGGAAATTGATGTAACGTACCTCAAAAGTACAGCAGCGGAAGTTTAAAATTTTCCCAAACAGATCTTCCCTGATTATGACAAAATAACGAATATAACAATAATAACAGATCTGAGTTGGAACTTACAGATCTTCCAGCCTAGCAGTAATAATCCTTGACCTTAGGTATCCACGTGATTTCTCCTTTTCGAAAGAACGGTTAGATCTCCCTTAGAGAAAGGCTAGGAAATCTCTTTGCAGGGAAATAAACTGGTAATACTGAATCTGAAAACTGGTCACCGAATTATGAAGGAGGAGGATGTATTTATACTAGTTCTAAACTAGTTTCCCAATCACAATGAAAGTATTTCATTAATGAGTTCCAAACCTACCAGGATCAATACTCCATTTATTTAATCAAATAAATAATAAAATACTAAAAAAATACAAGAGGGAAGGAGGGCTCACGTACGCCACTCTCTTCCTCTCTTTTGTATCATTTAGTTTTTCAATTTATTTTATAATTCTAAATTATAAAATAAATAACCATCTTTATTTAATTAAAAATACATCTTAATTAATTATAATAAATCTAATTTATCACACTTAATTAATTCTATCAAATAGAACAATCCTTCAACATGATGGATTAAATATATTAATCGAATTAATATTTAACTCATCTTATTTTTAGTATTATGAATTAAATATTATTTAATCCAATTAATAATATTTAATTCCTTCTAACAATTCAATCGGAAGGTAGAATCACTTGTTGTGTGACCCATATGGCCTTATATATTAAGCACTAATCAAATTAAGGTCTTAGTAGAATCCCTAGACGATTTACCAAACAAACTTAATATATAAGGACGTTTGCGAGGACTATTCAAACTCCCTGTAATATTATAGAGCTCATAGTGATACGGTCCTTTCATTCAACGAACATTCAACTAAGTCTAGAACATGATATTGTGTCTATTCCAATAACTTAGTTTCTGTCTCTCAATCTTTCTAGATGATCCATAACGATCATATTCGATATCCAAAACGAATATATCTTTGCATTGGCCAATGACTTTATGATCCATCTAGATATGAGAAGTAGAATGTTCTCTCTTAATCTATTACGAGGAATGAATCCTTTCTTGGCTCAACTACTACTCCATGTGCTTCGTGATGCACCCAACACATGCCGTATCTACCCCGATTGGAGTGCAAGCGTTGGTCATGGTCAAAGTACATCACTCCGCACATGTAGTACGTATTGACCTCAAGTCGGAGGACTATTTCACTACTCTATACGCCGATAATCCCATAGACACATGAATAGAACTTATCAAATGGTTTCTCGGTGGGTATGCCAATATTCTCTAAAATATCTATGTGACCATCATGAATTACAGAAACTCATAGTTGTGAGATCAACTATACTTTCTAAAAGTATGATGCAGTCCACATACCAATCTTATCACATATCATCAATATCACTTTCTTGATGATCATTGATTGGGGCTATTTTAGGACCTTATGTTATATCATATAAGCTCCCACTTACTTATTGACAACATAAATCCAAGGGAACACAATTATGAATAAGATATTGACAACCGAAATACTTAATTATCAATGTGTAATACCGTATATATCAAATATATAAAACTGAATGTGATCAAGTACATATATCTCTAAAAGTGATTGTCGCTAGGACATATATACTAACAATCTCCCACTTGGCCTAGTGCCAATCACCGATGCGTCTAACACCTAGACTCTCAAAAGTTTAGTGTGTTTCTCGTATCTCGAAGGTTTGGTGAATGGGCCAGCCAGATTTTCCTCTACGGGAACGCGTTCTATTGCAACTTCTCTTCTTGCTATTTGTTATCCAAAACATGATAGCACATATGTATTTTCTAGTTCCTTACTTTGCATCTTGGTTCTCTAGCTTGTGCAAATGCACCGATATAATCACAATAACAATTATCAGATAACTGTCGCTAGGAACTACCCTTATTTCTTTAAGGAACTAACGTATCTAAACGTTTACCTAAGTTGCATCAAATGCAACAATTTACTAGGCTCTAATTGTTGATTTTATAGTAGTTTCTTACTTGCAACTCTTGCAGCACCACTATTACATTGAGACTAAAAACATATACTGACTATGACTCGTAGTATTCCTTATCATACATGAAACTAGTGTTAGAATAATTAACTTCTACTAATTCTTTCTGTCCACCATAGACAAAAGATATTCATGAAGATTTTGGGTAACCATTCTTTCACGGACTTCAATGAGGGGATATCATTCTCTATGATCAACATATATGATTATAAAGACCACGATATCCCTGCTACGCATGCTTAACACGCAAGCACCCTCATTTCATTCGATGAAGTCAAACGATTTGACCATTTCATCAAAATTAATATTTCAACTCCTAGAGACTTGTTTTAGCCCATAAATGGATTTCTCTAATTAACATAGTGATTTAGAATTTGACTTGGATACAAAAACCTTCAGGTTATACCATGTACACCTCCTCCGTGAGGTTTCTATTAAAGAAAAAGGTTTTGAAATCCATTTGTCAAATCTCATAATCATAGTATGCGGCTATCACAAGCAAAATCCAAATGGACTTGTTTGTATCCGATGGGTCTAACCCAATAGACAAATCAACCAAGTTCCATACCTGATTGATATACATCAAGTCCATTTTGATTTCATGGTTTCTCTCCATCTCTCTAAATCAACATCTAATATTGCTTTAGTGTGGGTCTTAGGTTTATCCTTATCAGGAATCTCAACATCATCATGATCCTCCATGAGGAAATCAAACCTAGTTGATTCATGACGAATCCTACTAGACCTACGGAGTTGAATATTTTACGTTTGTTTAGGCTGTTCATTCTGATTGTGATGTTCTCCTTCATTGGAATGTCTAATGCTCGGGAGTTTTCTAATGAGGAGAGTCAGGTGCAGAAGGAATGACAACCATGTCATTTCTCTCTTGCTTAATAAGAATCACTTGCTGGTGCAAAGTGCTTCCTATATTACTCCCACTAGCTGAAAGACATCCTCCTAGAGACATGCTTCCACTCAATTCTCCCACTGAATCCTTGTTTTGACCATCTAACAAGTTTTTGTCCTCTTTTACCTTTCAATTGATCAGTGCACATTTCTTTACATATGTAGGGCAACCCAAACTTAATATGTAATAGAACATGTCTTTTATTATACTATAACTCATATAGTACATTTTGCACTAATTAATCTATTCAGAATATTATATTATTGAGGTTTATAGCGTGTACTCTCAAAAGAATGTTTGGAAGAGAAAATGAATTCATCATAGATCTAACCATGTCTAACAAAGTCCTATTTCTACTTGCAGAAACGCCACACTTCTGAGGTGTTCTAGAGAAATTCACTATGATCGAATTCTTTGACATTTTTTAAATGAATCGGAAATTTTTACTCAAGTACTCTTTGGCTTGCGATCCCATTTCTTAGAAAAGATTTATTGGTCAATTTACTTGAAAGACAAGAATTACAATTTTCATATGATTCAAAACCAAATGGTGTTAAATAATCTAATTTATTTAACCTTGCTATTCTTGTTTCATTAATTTGACCAAGTTTGCAATGTCATAGATAGGTAGTAATTTTTCTGATGATTTAATAAAAAACCTTTTTATTCATTTAATATCTAATATGTCTATTGATAATCAACCATTCATAAAAAAATATTTCTACAACAACACCATTTTACGAAAATAACAATTATTATTAGCAAAATGGAAATAGAAACCTTTTAATGTCTAACATATGAATGGAAATAATCTTCTTGGTAATAGAAAGAATGAAATAACAATTATTTAATTCTAATCTAAAACCACTGGGTAAATCTAAACTATTAGTTCCCATCACGTTCAGCAGCAACCTTTGCTCCAGCCTTCACATGTAGGTCAATTTTACCCAGTCCAACTGCTACACTGCCTCTCAGGCTTCTGCACATGTTTACAAGTGTGTAAGCCACAAGTTGTATCTAATACTTTAACAATGAGAGCTAGTTATAGACATATTTATTTAATGATAAAAATACCTGAGCTAGAAGCACCCGGTGCTTTGGCTAGATTAGCCTTATATAGCTCACAATCTCTCTTCCAGTGCCCCTTCTCTTTACAGTAGAGGCAAACATCCTTCGCAACCTTTGGCTTCATATGACCTCTGCCTTTAGCCTTCAGAGCTGTAGGAGTAGGTCCAACCTTACCTTTCTTCTTTTGCTTATTCTTGTTCTTAGAACGAGACTTAGCATTAGAGCTTACCATAAGAACAGTCTTTCCCTTAGAGGTTGAGGCTTCATAAGACTTGAGCATGTTATGGAGTTCAGGCATGGTCGCTTTCGTTTTGTTCAAATTATAATTCACAATGAAGTTAGTAAATGAACTCGGAAGCGAATATAGAATGATAGCAGCTGAGACGCGATCCTCAAACTTAATTCCGGTGGTAGCAACTCTTTCAATTAAGCTAATCATTTTGAGGACGTGTTCAGACACATTGCCACCCTCTTGAAGCCTACACTTGAAAATGTCTGTCAGAAGTTCATACTCTAGAGTTTGACTTTCTGAATCAAACAAACTTTTCAAGTGTTCAAGCATCTCGAAGGCGCTCATCCTATCATGCTGCCTTTGCAACTCCATAGACATTGCAGCCAACATAACACATTGCCCAATTTTAGCATCAGTAACGTGTTTCTCTCGAGCAGTCAGGTCAAACGTGGCAAACTCAGGAGAGTTGGCATCAGGAATCTTGGGTACTGGTGTGTCTAACACATACTCAATATTTTCTCGCCTAAGAACTAAACGCACATTTCTTTCCCAGTCCAGAAAGTTTGGTCCAGTCAGCTTGCATGTATCCAAGATACTTCTCAATGATAAATTCGACATTCTTAAAAGCCTAGAGAGGTTCAAAATAGAACGGGAATTAAAATTCATATAATAATTCCTATGATCACATTTAGTTAACTAAATAATTCGGACTTTTAATTATTTAGCTCCCACTATTTTTACATGCTCTTTGACCCCAATGAAAAGAACATGGAATGTTTTACAATCACAGTGGCCAAGATCCTCATTCATACTATTACAGTCCCAACTTTGGCTGATCACTGCAATAATATAATGGGTAGGTCCCTAGACCAATTGCGTCCAAGCAATTCTTGGTTGATCAATTTTTAATTGATCGACACCCTTAAATTACACTGACGCTTTGGCGACTTGTGCTAATTTAAGTAAGTCAAAACCATCACACAATCACAAACATATGTATCTATAAATTAGTTCTATACTTTGTCGAATGGAATAAACACTTTGGTGAAATATTCTTCAACGAAAAAATATATCTACTAATTTAATTATGATGGGTGATGTTGTTATCCCAGATAAGACTTAAATTTTAGTTTATGGGGAACATTTAGCGGGGTATTAAATTATTCTATTTAATCAAGATGCTAAAACATATTATCAAATAATATGTTAATGAGATCTAACTCAGACAAAGAAATTAAAGCACATAATATAAATCTAATTTATAAACAGATATAATTAACAATTAATATCAGCATGCTTAAAAATAACTGTAATAAAAATACAGCCGAAAATTATAACGGGAAAAACAAGTCCCTAAATCTCGAAGATAATTAATCTAATTAAAAGTAAATAAATTTTATGTTCAATTACGGAATACTATTTTAAGATTGTCCAACAGTCCTAAATCAGTTGAGAGACCTTTATCGATAGCTATACAGTGAAGACCATTCTAAAAGGGTTAAAGACTAACACGAATCAAATTCAAAACATACTCCTTGTTAATCTCAACTACTCCGTATTAATCTTCCGTGTAAAGCTAAGCCTCAAACAATTTCCTTGCAATTTCTAAAATTGCAAAAAGGTCCTTAGTTTAATCTAATTCTTGATTTCAGATCCAAGGCTTCATCTTCCAATTTTGGGCAGTAACGAATGATCCCTCCTGGCAGAGATTTCAGCCAGGGAACCAGGCATCTTTGTCGGAGAGTATCCCAGTAGGTCGTCGGGCACAAGTGCTGCGATTCGTCTGGGCATTCGTCGGCTCCCTTGGTCGCTCCATTGCAGAGCTCATCAGGATTCGACGATGAAGCTCCAGTAGATCGTAGACAGATATTCCAGTTCGAAGAGGAAGAAAGAAAAACGCAGAAATCATCGATTGATGATCGGTTTCCATGATGGATCGTTAAAAAGATCATAGAACTATATTTCAATTTCGTAAAGTACTATGAAGATCCTAAATCATATGCAACAGGTCGAAATCAATTTTGTTTTAAAAAACAGATCCACATCTAATTTCTAAAATTAAATCATGGCAAAAAGAATTTCTGGAAGAACATACGTTATTCTTCCCACGAAATTATCATATAAATCAGTTTGGCTCTAATACCACTGTTAGGAAATTGATGTAACGTACCTCAAAAGTACAGCAGCGGAAGTTTAAAATTTTCCCAAACAGATCTTCCCTGATTATGACAAAACAACGAATATAACAATAATAACAGATCTGAGTTGGAACTTACAGATCTTCCAGCCTAGCAGTAATAATCTTTGACCTTAGGTATCCACGTGATTTCTCCTTTTCGAAAGAACGGTTAGATCTCCCTTAAAGAAAGGCTAGGAAATCTCTTTGCAGGGAAATAAACTGGTAATACTGAATCTGAAAACTGGTCACCGAATTATGAAGGAGGAGGATGTATTTATACTAGTTCTAAACTAGTTTCCCAATGAAATAATTCCCTAAATGGGACTAAATCAATGTTGAAGTGCACAAGTAGGACTCTCATAATTAATAGGACCGAAAATGGACTGATTGGACAAAACTGCCCTTAATGAAATTAAGGGTCAAATAAAAAAAAATAAAACCCTCTCCCCACCGCCTCAGTTCATTCAACGATGCTAACTCCAAACCGACCTTCAGCACACCGCCTCATTCCAGATGCGAACTCCACACTCCACACTGTGACACCGTCAGCACCTTCCCTCTACTGCCGCTGGTGTCGAAACCGCTGCCGCAGCCAATTGAGACCGCCACCGCAGTTGCCGTCGAGATTGCCGATGCACACCTTCGGTGAGGCGACTGACCCCGTCCTACTGTGATGTTGGCATCTTCTTAGTCACTGCTACCTCATTTGAATGTAGTAATATGAGGAAGAAAATGCAATTATGATAACAATAATGACAACAAAATGGCATTTCTACATATAAACAAATGGAATTTTCAGATTATAAATTATGGCATTTTCAGATTGTAGAGTACAAAAAGTGAAATAGGAGAAGAAAAATGAAGAAGTAATGTTGTCCAAATTCAATTCAATGCCATAAAATGCCACAATTTGTGAAAATGTCAAAAATTTGGCATTTTCAAAGATGCCATATTTCCATCTCCATAAAAAATTGCCATTAATGTGGCATTTCGTACAAGTTGATAAAAATACACAATAATAAAATTTAGATCTGAAATTTTTTGAACCAGAGCCTCGAAAATTCATCCCCAAATGTTTTGATTTCAAAATTTTCAGATCAAAAATAAACTTTCCCTTTAAGAATCAAATAAACATTCGAATGAATTAACACAAAATAACAATAAATGCAAGAGGAGCAGAGAATAGAGGATTAGGAGGAAAAAGGAGAAGAAGAAGAGAAGAAGAAAGAGAAAGAGAAGGAGGAGGAAGGGATTACCTGTAGATACGCTGGCCGGAGCATGGCGCGAGGAAGAGAATCGGTCACTCCATGGGAGAGGAGCTGCCGATGCGGAAAAGAAGATACGAATGGGGAAGATGCCAATCGAGTAAGATGCGGATGGGGAAAAGGAGATGGGCCGATGGTTTTATTATAGGAGGGGCAAATCTGTAACAAGGGGTCCCATTTAGGTAAAATAAATCATTAACTCCCATTTAAGAATTTTGGTCATAATTTAGTCCTATTTAAGACAAAAAAGTCTTTCCCAATCACAATGAAAGTCTTTCATTAATGAGTTCCAAACCTACCAGGATCAATACTCCATTTATTTAATCAAATAAATAATAAAATACTAAAATAATACAAGAGGGAAGGAGGGCTCACGTACGCCACTCTCTTCCTCTCTTTTGTATCATTTAGTTTTTCAATTTATTTTATAATTCTAAATTATAAAAATAACCATCTTTATTTAATTAAAAATACATCTTAATTAATTATAATAAATCTAATTTATCACACTTAATTAATTCTATCAAATAGAACAATCCTTCAACATGATGGATTAAATATATTAATCGAATTAATATTTAACTCATCTTATTTTCAGTATTATGAATTAAATATTATTTAATCCAATTAATAATATTTAATTCCTTCTAACAATTCAATCGGAAGGTATAATCACTTGTTGTGTGACCCATAGGGCCTTATATATTAAGCACTAATCAAATTAAGGTCTTAGTAGAATCCCTAGACGATTTACCAAACAAACTTAATATATAAGGACGTTTGCGAGGACTATTCAAACTCCCTGTAATATAGAGCTCATAGTGATACGGTCCTTTCATTCAACGAACATTCAACTAAGTCTAGAACATGATATTGTGTCTATTCCAATAACTTAGTTTCTGTCTCTCAATCTTTCTAGATGATCCATAACGATCATATTCGATATCCAAAACGAATATATCTTTGCATTGGCCAATGACTTAATGATCCATCTAGATATGAGAAGTAGAATGTTCTCTCTTAATCTATTACGAGGAATGAATCCTTTCTTGGCTCAACTACTACTCCATGTGCTTCGTGATGCACCCAACACATGCCGTATCTACCCCGATTGGAGTGCAAGCGTTGGTCATGGTCAAAGTACATCACTCCGCACATGTAGTACGTATTGACCTCAAGTCGGAGGACTATTACACTACTCTATACGCCGATAATCCCATAGACACATGAATAGAACTTATCAAATGGTTTCTCGGTGGGTATGCCAATATTCTCTAAAATATCTATGTGACCATCATGAATTACAGAAACTCATAGTTGTGAGATCAACTATACTTTCTAAAAGTATGATGCAGTCCACATACCAATCTTATCACATATCATCAATATCCCTTTCTTGATGATCATTGATTGGGGCTATTTTAGGACCTTATGTTATATCATATAAGCTCCCACTTACTTATTGACAACATAAATCCAAGGGAACACAATTATGAATAAGATATTGACAATCGAAATACTTAATTATCAATGTGTAATACTGTATATATAAAACTGAATGTGATCAAGTACATATATCTCTAAAAGTGATTGTCGCTAGGACATATATACTAACACCCATCCCCCTCCAACACCCTTCCCCAGCCCCCCAGCAGCACCCAGCCGACTCCAACACCCTCCCCCAGCCCCCCAGCAGCACCCAGCCCCCTCCAACACCCTCCCCCAACCCCCTCCAACACCCTCCTCCAGCCCCCACCCCCCCTCACCCCCTCCAGCACCTCCCCCAACCTCCAGCAACCCACAGCCCCCCTCCAACACCCTCACCCAGACCCCTGCAGCCCTACAATACCCTCCCCGAGCACCCCCTCCAACCCCCTGTGCCAACAGCCCCCATTCAGCACTCTACCCAGCCCTTCCCTTTCACGAGCGGTGCAAACATGCCTCTCCAACCTTCCCCACCGCCGCACCCTACCCGCCAACTCTAGTCGGCGCCAACATTAGCCTTGTTATTCTCATCCTCTCTCCAATTGCTCGAACTCCTATCTCCCTAAATAAAAAATTCTACATCTACGCAACAACAATTTGGTCAGACTCAAGGTGGGAGACAGATCTGTACCAGCCACCAAAACTCACCGTCGTTGAGCTAGCAGATGGAAGACCGAGCTCGATCCGCCACTGTAACGCCGGCGTTGCAGCGCCTTCGAAGTCGCTGGTGCTGGCCGTCTCCGGTGTCCCTGCCTCCATTGTTGCCGGCTACCTCTTCGTCTGTTGCAGAAGCGGAAGTGGTCGAATGGCGATGGAGTCGAGATTTCGTCTGCAAGTCTCTTGCTTTCATCCGTAGCGGAAGTGGTCATGGCGATGGAGCCGAGATTTTGTCCGCAGGTCTCTTTCATCCGTACGTTAAGATTTCGTCCGCAAGCCTCTTTTTTTGTCCATTTCAAAATAGGTCATACTTTTGGAAAGTGAAAAATCACGAGTCTTATTTTAGCCTTTATTTCTAAAACCATTGAAATGCACATATACTAACTCTAGTTATTGGGCTATATGCACCCCCACACTATAAGAAAACTTAAATATGGACGTCTGGATATTAAAACAGTGTAAGCACTTTGTCAATACCATTTTTCTACATTCCATCACCGTCAATAAAACGCATTCAACATACTTTTTTAAATATTTTTTTTGATAAAACATTAATTAAATAATTTAAATTATTATAAGCAATGTTTTTCTTTGACTTTTTCCTGAATAATTATGAATTTTAAAATGCGCATTGCGATGTTAAAAATAAAAATGTTGTTTAATATCTTTTATGTTAATAAAGAATAAAATGGGATCAGTGTAGTTCGGTTATTTAATTTGTGGAGACACCATATAGATCGATTAAAAAATTGTGTTTCGTGTATTTTTAGTCTAAAACCCACATGGTTAGCACTTCAACTTTCTTTTTAAAAATTCATATATGCATTGATTATGTCATATAAGGGATAAATAAAAAGTTATGAATTTTGATATGTTATTTGTAAAAAGTGAAACACAAATGAAAAAGTATGCACTTTTAGAAAAAAGAGATATTTACTTCATGATCCTCACAACTAGGGGTGGGCACGGTCCGGGACGGGACGAGATTTAAGTTGTCCAAGTACTGAACCCGGTCTATCATAAGTTCATAACAATTGGGAACGGAACGGGACAAGACGTTGTCCTTTTGTTGTCCCATTTAAATCGGTACCGGGACAAAACGAGACGGTTCGGGACATCCCAAAAATTGTAGTGAAAAAAATAGCGCAATAAAACTGTATGACAAAAAAATGCCGCTATTCTAGAAAATTGTGAGAAAAAAAATGTAACTTACAGAATTAGCTGCAAGAAATAGAAGTTGTAGCAAAAAAAGACTAACACAAAAAACTATTAAGAAATTTGTAAAAAACAAAATATGATAAAAAATACTAGAAGTGAAGCCTTTGGAAGTAAAAATCAGTTATTTATTTATTTATTTATTTATTTATTTATTTATAGATAGATAGATGATGGTTCATAGTTCATACTAGGTAGTTTAGAGTTTTTAGGTCTTCTGTTGTTAAAAAACTAGTATTTCAATAAATATTGGTATTTGAGTTGTGAAAAAGGATAATTATTACTCCGTATTATTATTTGGATTACATAATGAGTTGTTAGTAGACTCACTAACCTACTACAACATACAATTTTGATTCGGGACAACGGAACGGAACGAGATATATTTTAATTGTCCCGGTCCCGTTTTGTTTTGAAACGGTTTGGGACCGGTACGAGACAAATATAATGTGTCCCAAATATACCGGGATAATTTCGGAATGGAACCGGAACATTCCAGAATGGGCCAACGGGACCGGGTCTTTTGCCCACGCCTACTCACAACTGACAAAGAAGTGCAACCTCATTTTCTCTACCTTTCCAATTTTAGGGGGTGTTTGAAACTAATAAGAATGCTTCTGCTTTTTTTAAAAAAACAGAAGCAGACTTAGAATCATTTTTTCAAAAGTTGGTCTTCCTCAGCTTCTAAAAAACTCTTCTAGGAGTAATTTGGAGCACTCAAAAGTACTTCTTCACTTCTATCCAAACACTCCAATATCTGGTTCTGCTCCCTGAAGGAGCAGAAACAATTTTAAGAAGCGAATCCAAACACCCCCTTAATTAGCCTCTTAACCTGGATTTTGAACTTTAAAGTAACAAAGTCCAAATTATCCATTATTAATATGTTTAAATATGTTTTTAAACCCTGCTGTTGAGGTTTATTCCTTCAACCCTCGGGTCCAACACGTAAGCCCAAGGATTTCGAGTGGAGTGTGTGTGAGTAAACTAGCCCAACAAGCAGATGGTATGGATTAAAGAGGATAAGAAGGTAGCAAGTAAGTGATTAGGTATTATTATCTCTTAATAACTCCCTAATACAATACTTTTCGCTAAGGCTCCGTTGGCCGTTCGTCTTACAAGGCAGTAGAAGTGCTGCGAGTAAGAATGCTATAGCTAGAGTGCTAAGAATAGAAAGTTGCCAACCCTTTACAATGAAATAAATGCTTCTATTTATACCCGCCAATGGGCAGGTGGCTATGCTGATGTGGAAGCCTGTGGACCGCTGGTGTCCCAACCACCAAATCTTCAGCATTAAATGCACTTCCCGCCAGAATCTAGGTTTCCCGCCTAAATAGTGGGGACGTTCGTCCGCCCGGGAAGCAAGCTGGATCGCTCCAAGTAATCCTCAAGAGGCATCGGCTGTTCGTCTCCTGGCCTTAATGGGTTCTCACCATGTGGACTGGATTTCCTCCAATGACCATAGGCTTGCTCTGGAGACGTTCGTCGTCATCCCCGATGGTCCGTGGTCCTACTCCTTGTTCCTGCATAGACGTTCGTTGAGATGGGCCGTTGAGCCCAAGCCCTATTGCAGACGTTCGTCTGTTTTTAAGGAACATGGGCCTGCCGTCCACTTGTGTTCTAAGTAGACGTACGTCTGGTTGAAGGGGAGAATGGGCCGGACCTCGACTTGGGCCATTAACCCAACACAAGTCCCCCACTTCTGATGTTCTGAGCATGCGCAGGACATAAGGAAGTATAAGTCCCTCGAAG